TTTCTTTGCTGGTGTCAGGGTGTGGTACTTGGGGCTTGTGCTGTGCCTCTGGCTAGGCATGTTTCCTGTTGAGCCTTCTGATTCCAGGTTATACATGTCAGATGTATGTCGTATAATTGAGCTGAACGCCCAGGTTACTGCTGCAGCATCACTACGTACCAGCCAATTTGGCTGCAACACGGGAAGAGGAGCAATGACAGCTGAGCACATCTGAATCACATAGACACTGCAGTCTGCATCCCAAATTCCTCTATGTGGGTTTTGGAGGAGTKTTTTTGTTTTGGTTTGKTTTTTTTTAAGCCAACCAATATATTACTCTGTAGCGTATACTTTTCTAGTGCTYTGAATTTTTGCAAGGTTAATCAGAGCTCTCCAGTGATCTATTCCCTTGCCTTCTTGTTCCTGGGAGAAAAAGTGTTTAGGATCCCTAGGCTTTCATCATGACAATGTGTTAAACTGAGTAGTAGTTTGTTTTGGTTTTTCTTTTTTTTCTATTTCCCTGATATTTGAACTGGGCTGGCTTCGGTCCATCTTTAACAAAACCCTTCTGTCTGTCACGAAGGGCTGAAGGGATAATCACTACTTTCTTATTTGAATTCTGAAATTGTCTTTCAAATCTTACCTYTTCATTTATTTTGTAAAAGTCTTCTCTGGCCTTTTGAGAGATGAGCAAGCACAGTTTCAGTATGGCAGTTTATGTAAAAGGCTGTAAATGGCTCCCTGTGGTCTTAACACAGAACTTACATAATCTTAAATCATGACATTAACAGAGTAACTTCTGCCTGCTTAACTACATAACTCTTTTTCAAAAGCAGCATCTGTCTTGTGAGTGTTGCTTGTTACTAGGAAGGTGCAGGAGACGGGGAGCTTGACCCATKGCCAAGCTGTGGAGATGAGGGGCCACCACTTCCTAGCAAGGACTGAGAAGATAAGAGCCCCTCTGTTTGCCGCTTCCCTTTCTGCACGTTCACCTGAGAATGGCAAGATGTTTTAAGCTCTTTCTATTTCCATCTGTGGCATTTGTTTCGCTCTTCAATGCGTGTAGCCTGTTCTGTTTTGTGTTCTCCAAAGTTGGCTCCGGAGAGTCAACAGCCACTTGGTATTTCATTGTGTGCTTGGAAGGAAAGGTGTGAGCAGATTTATCTTAGAGCTGTGGTTCACCATTATACTGTCACATAAATCAGAGAGGYGAAATGAGAACGCCGTGGAGGAAGGTCTGCTGTGGGATTATACTGCCTTATTACTGAATGTGTTGCTCTTGGGAAAGTATGGGGAGCCTTTTCTCTGCTAAAGACTATATAGAGCTTTCAAATAACCCTGACAAGCAATACACTAAAACACACAGTTGTATTTTTCCCCCTTATGTTGCTACTGAATAATTTTGCTCTGGGCTTTATGAAATAAGGAGGAAGCTGTAGTTGGTCCAAGGGCTGCCAACTCATCACATAAGTCTGACAGACTAATAAGCTTTCTCATAGCAATGTCTACAAAGCTGATTCAGGTAGAACTGCTGTGTTGTTTTTCAGTTCTGGGCCTGCAAGCTCTCCCAGCTGTGCTAGCCATTGCAGAGCAGCCATACCTTCCCTAAAACTTTGATTATTGCAGCATCTTTTGCAGGGGAATGGCAATAAAACTGTCTTGAGCAGCTGTCTATCCTGCTGCTTAAGGGAAAGATGCAATTTTTTGCAGTAATACTCAAAATTTCCGGGTGCGAAGGAGCAAAGGAACTCTGTCCGCTGTTTCCTGGGAGCCATGTGGATCTTGTTGAAAATGTTTTAAATGTTTTGGCTTTTCTAATTTTTTTTTTGAGGTGGGGGGAGAGAGAGGCTTCAGGGAAGACAAAGGACTTCAGAACTGGCATTGCTTTGCAGAGGTGACAATATACAGTTTGTAGGTGAGGTGTTATACACTTAAATAGCAGTCAGGAAGACTATGGCTTTCAAACAGGTAAAGATATAGTTAGAGACACTGACATAACTTGTTTTTAAGGGCAGTGGAATTTTCTTTGCGGGTAGTTTAAGGTCAGAATGGGCAAACATCTTCYGGGAATGGTGAGGGTCAGAGCTGACCATATCTGAGGCAGGGGCATGGATGAGGCAACCTTCCTGCCTCTTCACAATATTCCAGTACTCACAACTTTGAAAAATATCAGTGACATAAGGAGTCTTCATGGCATGTGTGGGCCTTGACCCTTGGCTCTTTGTTTTCCTCAGAGAGGATTTTGAGCAGTGTCAGTACAGTACATGCATCCACTTGTGCTTCAGTAATGAAAGAATCAACTTTGAGTGCAGCCAAGGCCATGGAAAGTCAGCAGCCCTGTTCCCTTCTGGGGATAGGCACTGGGGAAATGTCTCGAGCAAAGAGTTTGGAAGGGACTTGTCCAATTCTTAGTTCATCCGCAGGTTAATGCGGCTAGACTATGGGTTGAGTCGGTGTGGAAGTGTGTTCARTGACGTAAGGTAAAAATTTGGAGATGTCTTCCTCCAATTTTTGGTGGTTTTTAAGCCTTAATCACCTCCCTACTCAGGATCACTTTCATTTCCCCATTTCTCTTCATACACTTTCACAGCTGAGACTGACAGATTCAAATATGACAAACTTGAAATACATGATTTTTGTGAGCTGAAGAATTTGACTTTTTTTGGTTTTCAACTCTCATTTCAGAATATATTGCATTACATGATATGGAGTTACCACTTTTTAAAAATTTAAGCTGTTTTTATCTTTTGCTATTTATTTCTTCTATTGTTGTGATAGTTATGAGTAGAGTCTACGGAACAGAAAGGTGTAATAGTTTACTGGTGCAGTGCCACACTTCTTGATTGTTTTCTTTGCTTCAGGTCAAATGATAACATATCCAGCTACAGCTATGCAAAAGGAGCTTATGTAAGGAGACTGTAACTCCTAGTGCTGGAATTGGAGCCTGCTGAAAGACTCTTCCTTTGAAAGCATCTCTGCTTCTGCAGAGCCAGCTGTGCCTCTTGGTTTTCCTTTGTAGACAAGAAGAAACCGATCATTGATTTGGAAACCAAGATGAATGGAAYACGTTATATATTTTTAGGTGCCGCTTCTAACTGCCAGTGCTCCTTTGCTGCTTATGTCAAGTTTTGCAACCCTGGGGGGAGGAGGAGCAAAGGAAGGCAGAGCCAAAAAAAAAAAAAAAAAAATCATGGAAGGAAATTCATTCTGTTTCTAGTTGTTAAAAAAAAAAAAGCTGAAAGAATTGTTGTTCCTGATTGGAAAGGATAGGGGATCTTCCCATGCAAATTACTAGAGCTAATTGACTTGTAGTGGAGCATTGGCTGTGGCTTTCTACAGTGGGGTTGCTAGGAAATGTTGCTAAGCAACTCTTCAATGACTGAACCGACCTTTAAGATAAATATATGTGTTTTTTTTTTTTTCCTGCCCATTCTGATGCTGGAAAGGAAACCACCATTTCTGTCTTGCCCTGGCCTTTCCCTGGGCGGTAGGAGCTGGGTGGAGGTGGTTGAATAGCAGTGTCCCAAAGACCTGGCAGAGCTGCTCTGCAGGCACCACCTTTTAGTATGCAGTGTTTTTTGGGAACTCAATTTCCTCTGCGGTGTGAGCAGCCAAAGTAGGCAAATAACAATCTGAATTTATCTGATTAATTTTGTGTGTTTTCTTTTTTGTTTATTTTGAATAAATCACCAAAGAAACATTCTTGACTAATCTGGCTGCATGAGGCAAAAGGAGGACATGAGGTGGTGCTTGTCACAGTTGGACACACAGGATTTTAAATGCTATCATAGTGCTTAGGCCTTTAATAAAATGACTGGTGGCACTGCACAAAGCCACCATTGGGACCTGTTGGGAATGCTTTCCTCTTGCCCGCTGTCTTTGAAGCCAGTCTCTTTGTTTATTATAATGTTAAGTGAATCACATTCTTAATTTTGAATGCTTTTGCGCATCCAAAATAAGTTGATTTTTTTTGTTGTTTTTCCCCTCAGAAGGAGCCATAGGATTAATTCTTAAGCATCGTAATTTAAAAGTAGCTCTAGTTAAATCCAATTGGCAGAAAGCTATAGAGATGTTTTAGGCTTTTTATTGGCTGAGGCTGGCACTCTGAAAGGCCAAGCTTTGAGTGCCAGCCATGCAGGAGTCCGGTTGCAATAAAAAGCTGAGATGGAGGATAAGGATATTTGCCCACCACCTCTGAACTGCTCCCTACCAACTTGCTCTGCTTCCTGTGTTAAAGCAGCCTTGGAGGATGCTGTGCCGCCTTTTAAAGGCGACAGCTGTGAGCACAGTGCATGTGGGAAGAAAGGCTGGAGCATTTGCATCTGGCCTGCTTGATACTTAGCTTCAGCCCTGCCCAAAAATGTTTTGGAAAACCTTTAAAACTTCAGATTTCCTCCTCTTCCCCATGTGTTTCGTGCTGCCCCCCACACTCTATGTAGAGAAGATACCTACTTGCAACAGCAGTGCATGTTGCAAAGATACACCCAGCTGATGTGTCTCTTTGATATAAAGCTAGGTGTCTACCACGGTCAAAATTAGTTTGGAAGGAATTTGAACTGTTCTAAGGCAGATGATATGGATTTTCTAGTGCTTGACTACTGTGCTCCTCACCAAGAAAGACAGATTCTGTATTCTGGCTTGCAAGTTATAGTTTTAGGCTTTCAGCCCATTGACGGCAAAGTGAGGGAGAGTGATGGGCTCTTCTTGTTGGTGATCTGTTCCTCTTTGGTTACGTGTTAGTTATGGTTGGAGACTTTCTCTCTGCTCTGGCTTTAGGTAGTTTGGAATGACCCATCTGAGCACAGTAGTAGGGAGGAGAATGAGACAGAGGAGGAGATGAGTCCTGCAACAAATAGCTTTGCCCTGGTTTCTGAAAAAAATCAGCTCRGGGCATGGTAGGACAACATGTCCTACTACATGTCACAAGTGCTTTCATGATTAGCATGAAATTGAATTTGTGTGAATCRGTCTAAGGCAACAGGACACAGAACTGACTTGTGCTTAATTTCATTCTCTCCCAGGTCTTCAAGAACACAGACCTTCAATCCAAACTTGGAGGAGAGCCTTCACTCCAATGAAGTGTTCATCTTTGCTAGCAAATGGATGATGGGTCACTTCAGATMCAGTTAAGCAACCCAGGCCTTTAGAGAGGATGTGCCTGGCCTGTTGTCACTCAATTTCATTTTTTTTACCTTCTGCTCTATGCCATAAAGAGCAACTGGTTATAATTTGGTTGGAATGGAAGCATTAAGACCGCAATAAGGTTTTTAGATACCTTTAAGACTTTTTTTTTCCAAAAAGCATTTTTTTTCATATAAGAAGGTTGCTACTTTCTGATTACGGAGGGTGGGGGARGGGGAAAGGAACTGATTCATTGTTTGGCCAGAACATTGGAGATATGTAATACCTTTCAGGGGCTGAAGACTGAAGTTGTTCATGGAAAGTCTGAATTCCGTAAATAAAATCCCAGTGCATGTATAACCATGATGAAATTATGGGTAATAGCTCAGCCTTTCAGAGCTGGCAGGGTTTTTGTTATCTCAACAGATAATGCTAGCCAGGTRTTTAAATATTGAGAATGGATATAAATTGTTAAAAAGACTATGGCAACACAGCTAGTGTGCATTTTTTTGGTTTGGATACTCCTTTGCTGCCTAGGCATTATTAGAAAATAGATGTTAGCAGATATTGGCTTCAAAATGTTATGTAGACTAAATACTGCCTGCCTGAATGACTCTTGGACTGCTTTCTTACGGAAGTAGTATCCTGTTGTAGGAAATAACTTTTCATTATTAAAAAAGTGGGGTGGGGGAGTTAAGTTAAACAGTTGGCAAACTTAAAAATCTTAAAGTTCTGCCACTTGCCACAGACTAAGCTTTCAGATTTATTTTGCTCTGAGCATTAAATAGTATATGCTTTGCCAGAGCCTAGATTGAGAGCACRTAGAATGAATAATTTACCACCTAGAGGCTGTGCCTATCTATAAGAATAAGATCAGTGTTGTGAGCTAGGACTGTTTTCAAAGTTGTGAGCTTCCTTGGAAGTTGGAGCATCTGATGCTGAAAGACCTCAGGAGGATCATATGAGAGTCTACAAAAGAAGCCAGAAGAAACGTCTCATCTCACAACTCCCCTTCTCCATGTGCAAAGATGAGAAGCTTTTTGGCTGTATCTGACCTGAACAAGGCTTCAGGTTGGTCTTGGAGACAGACTAGACTTAAGGTTCAAACTTTCACCCTTTCATGTGGTCTTGGCTACTGTGTTGAGGGTTAGAGATGGATTKCTTGTGCAACAGAGGAAACCACGGTGCTTGAAAGACAGTCTGTTGTTTAACTCCTTTAGGTTTTGGGTACAGGTTTGTCACTGATGTGGTTGTGGGAGAACTTGCACTCACTTCTTGACAATGGGTCAAAGGATGAATGTTTGGAGTTACTCGGCTAAATGGGTGATCCCTAGGTCTCACTTCCCAAAACGATTAGTGAGAACAGTGTATAGTCTTGTTTTGTTTTTGCTTTTAACTCTGTAAATACATTAAGAAAAACCATTGACCTTTCATAAGAGTGTTTTTCTGCTCCTCACTGTTCCTTTCTCTCCAGAGCTTCTCACCTCTGTGGCAAGGCTGTTATCACATTACCTTGAAAAATGTTGTTCACCACTTTTATCTGCTTATTTGGCACCAAGTTATTTAAAAGATGACTGTTCTTCTGCCCTCATCCAAACTGCAAATAAACTTTGCCTCTGCCATAATCCTGTTGTTTTTCTTGCAGTAGAGGACACAGAATAGAAATAATGCAAGTAATAACTGGTATCTATTAACATGCATTTTAAGGAAAACAGCAAGCATTCTGCTGATATGACAAGGGAATGAAGAAAGCAACTGATTAACATGAAATATGGACATTTTTTGTATAAGCAAAATGATGCTTCTGGCTCTTCTGAAAAACAGCTTGCACTGACTGCAGTATGTGCTCTGAGACCCTGCAGTACCTGTGAGTGCTAACGGATGTTATCTGCACTGAATAGTGCAGTTCTCTTCCAGAATTAATACCTGGTTTTATGTTGCCGTTTTTGTTCCAAAGCACACAGCAGAACTGATTCTTTGTAATTCCCATTGCAGTAAAAAGTGACTGTTGAGTGTCCAAACTGTGCTGGAGACCTGAAGAAGTAGTCAAATAGCGAGTCTGAATTGGAACATTATCAAGGTGGGGGAGAACTTTATCAATCAACTTGTGCAGTTTATTTGGGGGTAGTAATACATGTAACAGATCATGTTATTTTCTCTCTAGGCAAGCAAAAAATATGTAGTTGCCTTATTATTGGAGTTCTTACTCTGCCTTTCTGCCATTGCCTTTATTTTTTGCTCCTTGCAGGGGCTTGCAGGATCCCTGTGAAATACTAKTGTTGCTTGACAAAAAACCAATGCTAACTCTGCTCTTACTAGATCAAAGAGTGACTTGGAAGTTTCCAGCCACTCCCAGAAATGCCAAAAGCAGCTTCTCAGCTGTGGCAAAATTGTAAATAGAGGCAAAGGTCTTAGCATGGCTTGCTAGGCAAAGGATTACGGCAGCACTTTGCTTGTCTCCTTATGTTAAGAGTGGTAGGAAGATAGAGCTGTAGAAACTGAAGCTGGAGGTTTTTATGCCTACCTTCATATGAATCCTAAGAGCCTCAGGTTGTGCCTGCACAGTCAGAAAGCAGTCTTGACTGTATTTATACAGTCTGTTTATATAGAGAGATTTGAAGAATTGAGTTCTCAATTTGAAGAATTGAATTCTCAAAGTGGCAAGAGAAACTTGCCACTTTCTGGTGTGAAAAACATCAAAAACTAATTTTGGCATCAATTTAAGGTTGCCCCATGTTGATGCTCCCCAAGAAAGGGAGCAACCCCTCCTTTCTGCAGCTACAGAAGTCRTGGATTGACAGTAGCTAGTTTCTAACCTAGAACCTAAACTTTTGCTTCCTTCGGTGACCCACCAAGAGCTCATGTCTACTTGACTCTGCAGGACTGGTGTYGGGGGTGGAAATGGAAGGGTTTTGGTTTTGAACCTTCCTTGTTGTAAAGCACACTTCGCTCTTAATGCAGTTATGTGTGTGGAGGCACAGATTAGGAATGTTTTACTGGTAGCCTTCATCCCCTATTTTGGAGTTGGGCTTCAAGTAAATGAAGAGGGAGAGGTTGCATGCAGGTTGTCCTTGAACTTCACCCTGTATTTAGRGGTTTCTCTGGTCATCCCTGGGTCCTGCTCTTACACTAGCTGTCAAGTCCACACAGTCTTTTCTTGTACCCTAACTGGAGTTTCCACCTTGAGGAACTCACTCTGGATTATTGCCGCATAAAATCAAGAACCAGAAGAGGCCTTGCTAGCTAGAGCAGCCCAGTGTGTGGGCCACGCTGAGAASCTACGTGGCTCTCCTTCCTCTGCTCAGCAACTGAGTGTTCTAGYTCTGAGGCTCTCCATGCCACCCGGCGGGGCGAGGGAAGCGCTTACAAACACACACAGCCTTTGCTTTTTCCTTTAGCCTTGTGTCATGTGCAAGTTGTGTTGCAGCACACACTAAAGAAAAAAAAAAGTTCCAGAATTAAAACAAGTGTGATGAATTTGGTGTGATTGAGCTGTTTAACCTCTCKTAAACCAACTTCCTTATGATATTAAGAGAGGAATTACTGGGCAATTAAATGCCCAGTTTTTAGATGGGACATTCAATGAACAATTGTAAGCATACTGCCCCACACCATGTTTTAATACTAGATGATAATATTATTTGCTTCAAAAGTTTTCTAAATGTGGGAAGCTAGAAAATATCTTTGAGCCTAAAGATGTTATTTAAGGATTCATAAAAATATTGGAAAAATGCTGAATAAGTGATTGTGAGAGCACTTTGCTTTTAAAAGAAGTCTGATGTGCTAGTTCAAGTATTCATTTTTCCATTTAAAAATTAGACGAGACTTTTGCAGAGTGTTTTAGAGAGGCTTCTGGTTTCAGATGTCTGTGCTGAAGCATATAAAAGATTTTAGTTAAAATGCTGAACCTGATTATGAACCTCCAGCACCAACATCTGCTCAAGAGTAGAACAAAGAAAACAATGGATGTGAACAATGTGAGGGAAAGCATTTTTCTTCTGAATAGGATTTTTTTGTACTATAGTCACCACAGTAACGTTTGAAAACTTCCTGTAGTAAATGAAATCCTGGCACTTGCATCTGTATCCTCTTATCTACCTCTAGATTGTAAAGAATTCATCGGGCTGTACGAGTGGCTATTTTTGCTGCTTAGGACACGCAGGGAAGTTGTTGCGTATCATTTTCTTGGCACTTGTGTCTCCTCGAAATGCCCTTTTCCTGAGTGTTTGCTTTGTGATAGACTTGTTCTGTGTTGTGGTGATAAGCGTGGAGTGGGTGTGTACGTTGGAAGTCAGAAAGTGGGCAGAGCTGGAGAGGATCCCTGGATCTATCTGCCGGTATCTCTGACTCTTACTTACACTGTGTTCTTAAAACATGAACCACTGATTACTGTAATGTCGCTGTTATGATAAGGCCAGGGCCCGATGATGCTGGGGTTGCTCATAAGCACCAAGGAGCCTCATGGGCAGCCAAATGCGACGGAGAGGATGGAGGTGTATGGAGGAGATCCTTAATCCTCGTTGGGTCACCCACCTTTGTGTTTGGCTGCAAGTGGGGAGGAATAAAAGGCCTTGGAAAGGGAAGAAATGTTACTGCCTTGTCACCGGCTCATTCCCTCCTAACTTAAGAGAAAGAGGAAGTTTAATGACCCTCCGAACATGGGTGATTATTTCAATAGTCTGCTGAAGTATGTCAATAATACACAGGGATGGAGCATACCCCATTTGTCATTCTATGTGCTGTTGAAGAGTACCATTGCAAAGATATTCTTGATTATTTCTTCTTCTGTTTGTTTTCTTTCTATACCTTAGAGAGAATTCAATGACCTGTATTTACAGCGTGCGGAGTAATTTATTGTAGTACATCATGTTCACGTTCCTGGGTCTGTGCAGGTAAATATTCTAGAAAGTGTAACAAAGGAAGTGGGATGTTTTTCTTGTCTGCGAGGGGTGCTCAGGCGTGTAGAGAGGATGCTTCATGGGTTAAAAATGAGGGCTTCTTTCTGAAAGATTTGGTTAGTATTTGCCACGTAGACTCTGTGACTTACTTATGAGCACAAAAATTAATCAGTTTAAGATGATATATAGATTAAGGGAAGCTTGGGAAACTTATATTCTGTCTGAAAACATGTCAAATGAATAGAGCTTGGTATTGCTCATAACAATACATTTCTATCTATCTTTTTCATAATATATTTGCACAGCAACTTAAGAAAAAATCTATTGCTTCATTAGTGAAGAGCGTTCTCATGTTTATTGTTATGCTTCAAAATGTCACTTTTGGCTATGGTTAAAAGTACAAATTATGCAGTTGTACTTGTGACTAAAGGCAGCTGAATACATGGCTAGTAAAGTCTGTTATATTAATGAGTCTTTGAGCAAAGCTGCTGTTTAAAAGCCCCRCTGCACAAGCAAGCCATGGAAAGACAAGCAAAGGCAAGATACGTCTGGCTGGCTGCTAATGAGGGAACAGTAGCTCCTTAACTTTATGGACAAGCAGCAGCTTGCTTTGGGTTATCTGAACTTGGCTTATCCTAACTGAGGTTATAAACTCCACGTATTTTTGCCCCCAACTGTGAGAAATCACAGGAACAGCCATCTTTTYGTCTTCTTACCTCCACCTGTGTGTAGTCAAAACAGCATCCATAGAAAACAGTGAAGTAAGGACTGCCCAGAAGGGATTCGATAAAAGCTGGGTGTCTTGGATTATCCTGACCTTGTTCTTACTACCTAACTAAAATATTAATCAGTATCTCATATTTTGACTTCAATAAGTAAGGGTTTGCATAGCTGGGAATCTGCTATTGGGAAAGGAACCTTTTGAACCCTTTAGGACTTATTTTCCTGTCAAAAATAATAAACAACTTCAGTGTTCACCCACACAGCATCAGTGGGGTTTTTTTAAATCTGAATTGTTACATAGGCCACAAATTATAGTTACTCAAAAAGAAGTTAGTAACCCATCAGCAAAAATGGCATTAAAGGCAACATTATTTCCCATAATGTTAATAAGCCTTTTTTTGGTGTGATTTATTTTTGCAACAATTACTGTATAAAGTCTCATGGAAGATGTATTTGTGTAGTTAATGTAATATACATGTATGCAATTTTCAATTTTAGTGCCTATTGATTGCTTCATTTTTCATCTGTAGTGGGCTATTCTTATAATTTCCTCTGGGCTTTCAGAAATGGCAGACATCAAGGGAAAATTGTAGTGGTTAGTCCTATGGGAAATGCAAAAAGGCAAATGGATCAGAGTTTCAGGGAAAGAACTGAGTTCACGTGCACTTGTGCCATGCGAATTTAAACTGCCTTCCACAACCTTTCAGAGATCTGAAAGTACTTTATTGAAGTAATTTTGCTTTTATGTATTTTATAGGGAAAGATGAATTCTAAAGGCAAAGGGAGGCCTTGCACAAGTATGGGAAGTGAGTGTCCCTCCTGCTCTGTTTGGCAGTTTGCGAGTCCAAAAGGTAAGATCGCTCTTGCTCAGTATCAGCTGCATTGTTTGAAAACTGAAGTACACGCACATGGGGTAGCTTGGGGAACTTGTACCATGACTACAGGCTAGATCCCCACTCAGACTTGCTCCCTGAAATGCAGAGGGATCTGAGGCACACTAGTATTAAAATATGAGAGAAGGCAAAATCATATGTACATGTTAATTTAGAAACAATTATTCTAGTTTTAAAAAAAGTGCAAATAGTTGCAGGCTAGATCCTGCTAATTAATTGGTTCTTATCTGTTCTCACCTCTTGCTGCTTTCCTGCAGTGGCTCCCTCACAGGGACAGGCTCTGTTTTCAGTTCAGTTAATGCAAAGTTAATTTTGACACCCACACATGACTTTATCATCACAGCTCTGTGTAAGGTAATTAAATATCTATCTTCCCTATTAATATATCATTAGTGGCACAGTATGTATCTGTTTATAATACAGTCTGAGAAAATGTAGTTATACTATATCATGATGACAGTGGTAGCCATAGAGYTTTGCTGTTTCAATGATAACTTCCATTTTTACAGTCACTCCACACTTTGGCTGGAATTACAGAGGGCAAGAGTGAAGGTAAAACAAAGGACCTGACCCTGGCCCTTCAAGATCATGCTGCCCTTCAATATTGCTCAACAATATTGAAAATATTGAGCCTGGGCRCGAGTGAGATTGCTCATGGGTCAAGGTTTTGTGCAGCTTCAGACAAGTGTTATGCCTACCCTAGGTCACTAGTACAATCTGTGTTTAGTGGGGAGATAAATGTTAGACTGAATGATTCGTCCAAGTTGTTTCCAGATGGGCCAGAATTTAGATGAAGGAAGCTAGGAAAGAGTAGTCCAATCTGTCAAGATCCAGCTCTGCATCACTTTATTTTTATCAGTCTTGTCAYAGAAAACAGTCTCAAATTGGAACCGATAACCTGGTCCACTTGTCATGGCTGCAATATTTTTTTGTTTTTGTTTTTTCCAGAGAAACCTATAAAGGAGTTATCCTCAGATGCCTAATTAACTGTTTTGGCAGGATTTGCACATCTAATTTTAAACTCTTCTGAAAATCCTGGTAGCTGTGGGATTTCTGCAATGAAGAATTCTGCCAGCACTAAAGAAGGTGTTAGGCCTTTTTCACTTGAGACTTTTTTTAAGTRCATGTAACAAAATGTTTTAAAGCGGTGCTTCCCATGAACAGTAATTTGGAGGTTATACTTAATGCCCTTTCAGAAAGGTCAGCTTCAAAACTCACTTGCAAGATGAAAGATGGGGTCAAAATCAAATATTAAACAAATAGTACTAAAGAGAAGTTCACCTCTCTCTTCTTTGAGTTCCTTTAAAACTCTTGGGTCAGTATTGTCTTGYGCTTGTGACTTTGCGCTCTTTTGCTGCCTGTGTTATAGCCTCTTTCACTGGCCCTTGAAATTCAGATTGGACTTCCTAACCTGCTAGCTCCCACTGTCTTGAAAATAAAAGAATTTTAGCAGGGGAAATACTCCCACTGAAAAGAAAAATGATAATCTATTATTGTGGCTGTATCTTCCCTGAAAGTGACTTTTCTACCTTGATGTTCTGTTGGCGCTACAGACTGATTATGACATGTTTAATAAAGGATTATTAGATGTTAAAAAGAGTTCCCCATAATACTTTTGTCCTGTTTYGTGCTGTGTCTACATTCAGACTGCTAGTGTAGTCTGCGATTATTCCTATCTCTACAACTTCAGCTTCTTGAAGCCTCYCTGTGGTGTCTTTCCAATGTCTCTTTGCCACCTTCAAGGATCTTGCTCTTTCTGACTGCACTTTTGACATTCGTAGGGAGTTTCTGAAGGTAGTTCAAGTTGTTCCTAATTTCACGTAAGGGTTCTGGGCTTTTTGGTATTCCAGGATGGATAATGAATGCAATGTCCAGTGGTCCCTGTGACAAAGCCAAGTTGAACCTGATCTGAAGCTGATCCCTGTATGAACAGGGATGAGGACCAGACCTTTGGTGTGGGTCAGGACCAAGTTAAGAATTCCTGGGGTTTCCCTAATTAAGCTGTTCAGTGAAAGAGTCATCAACAGTACAGGAAAAAAGAGTCTTGGCATTGTGCCTGGATGTGATATTTGCTTGATGTACATTGGGGTATCTGATTTTCCCATTACAGCTGTGTCTTTTTGCCAGAAAATTTTCTCTAGTCTCCCTCTGTGTATCAAAATCATGGCTGCTGCCAACAAGAGGCAATTGATGATAAAAATCTGTTGGGTTATTTCTCTGTTTAAGGTCTGGAGAATGTTATTACTGAGCATACGTGCAAGAGTTCATTTGTGCTGAGAAGAGGCAGATGGGACAAGCGGCTGTCTAGCTGTTTTTATTMTACAATAACTGCATAATGGTGGTGCAGGTATATAAAGTGACTCCAATTCATAATTTGCTACTTCCGAAAACCTCTCCTGCCAAGGCACATGTGTGCAAGAGCAAGTGTGTATAAAACCAACCTGTTGTGCATCACTACCTCTTTTAAAATATTTTTCATTGCTGCCTCAGGGAGGTGCCGGCTCCAACTACACCAGCCCTGCCTAAACTCTTATCTGCTTCCTACCTTTGAGTGAGCTTAAGGAGTTTTATATTTTATAAGTCAATTTGATTTATTTTGGAGTTTTTAAGCCAGTGTCCCATAGTTGTGTGCACATGTCCAATCCTATATTTTTTGTTGGCTCTGATAGAAATAAAGAGCGGATTTCTGCTTGGGAGAGGATGAGCTCAGGAGACCTGAGGATGAGAATATTTTGAATTACTACTCTCTTTATTGCTTGACATAACTTGTTTTGCTTTTCWTTCACTTCTTCAGAGGTGACTACAGCCACAGTAGTAAGTTTGGCTGTGTGCTTTTTCTGAAGAAGCTAAAGATATGAAAGCTTTGTATGGCATATGTGTAATCTTGCTAGCCTGCTGTCATGCAGCAGCCTCTTTCCTGAGGGAGCAGGTACTTCCTGTTAAAGGAAAGCAGTTACTTTTACCAAAGGATTAATTTGAAGGACGAACTTAAGTCAATTTATTAGGGTAAAACTGGAGCATTTCAGAGATGAGCTTGAAAGGAAGACTGCAGAAAAAAGCAAGMAGCATAAGATGAAGCAGGCAAGCAGTCTCTTCCGAGCTGCTGCTGCTCTCGGAATGCCAAGGCTTTCTTATACATGGGAAGCGCTATAAGGACAGACTTGGGCAAAAAGCAGAGCAGTTTAGAGATCATCTGTCTCTTGCAGTAATAATAATTTCTTGGCTTTTATCTTGCTGTGAATCTAAAAGCACTTAGAAAGGAATTGGTATAATTTTCCCCATTAGTGTGTGGTCAGCTAACAGTCAGGCTGGAAACTGAACTTGAGTGCTGCCTTTTCAGGCTGGTGAGTCACACTAATACCATGGGCTCCTTGCTTGGGAAAGGGGACTTCTGGCTGGCAAGAGGTGAATATGACAATGGCCTGCATGGCTCGGTGTAACTGATGAAAATATTCCCATACTTTTGTGAGGCAAACTTCTGGAGTGCTGCACTGAAACTCTTCTACAATCTGWGCAATAGCATGAGTTACAGGTTATGGATTATTTGAAGGTTAGTGTATCAGAATCTTTTTTCTTGGAATTTCTTCTGCATTGTGCACTTCAGGTTGGGATTTTGAATCTAATGCCCCAYGTAGGCGAGTGAGCCCCCGCTTGTCAGTGGTCTATCCAATAAATCTCTTGAGTTTGAATGAGATTTTGCCTTGGCAGTGTGGAATGGCTGCATAAAGTGCTCTCAGCAGCCTTGCCTGAGCAGCACTTCTGCACAGAAGAACTTTCAGTGATGCAACCACCAATCTGATCACTCATTGCTTTGAAAATGAATGGCAGTTAACAAAAGATTCTCTCTGCCCCAGTCTTTTCCCTCCTCTGTCTTTATCCTCATGGAGCTAGTTTTAAGTAACTGAATACCATGATGATTACTGAATTCATCATGAAGCTGAATTCATTTGAAGGCTGAGCTCTCTATTTCTTAATGGATGGGGSAGTGTGAAGCTTGGAGAAGAGCTTTCTTACATGCTAGTTCATACCTAAGTGAAACTGAACTTTCACATAAGGAAAAGGATTAGTCAAGTCTTAGCTCTGTTACTCCATCTAAAAGCTGCTTTTTCATGTTGTTTAAACCTCTGCAGAGCAAACCTTCTATATGATACTTGCTATTACATACAGTATAGATTGGCTTCTGAGTCTGGTAAGAATCACTACCCCTATCCAATCAACCATGGGTCAKCCAGGCATGGTGTTCTTGACAGGATAAACCTAGCTGGCTCATGTTAGCAGGAACTGACATTTATTTCAGTCTGCTATTGAGTAATAGTTTTTTGAGTGTTGCTCTTGTTGCCAAGTCTACCTTCCAGAATGCTGCTGTCGGGAAGCAGTGATTCTTCATGCTGTTGCTCTTGTGACCATCTCAAACTGAGCCCTTAATTGCCAAGGGCAGAATGGTTTTCTTCATTATCCAGCACGAATGTATCAAATAGATTCCTATGCTAGAATAAATTGGGGAAACTCCTCCTCTTTGTTCTGGAAAAAGCTGCACTTCAGTTGTGTGATAAGGTAAGTGAGAAGGACTACTTTGGTGCATGTGTGTAGGGTTTGTTTTCATTTTGTTTGTTTTTTGTCCTCCTAAAAAGCTGGGGAAAGTACATAAGAATGTAGACCTAGCTCATGAGAATTAGGTAATGGAATGACTCTGGGACCTGTGGGTCAAGATGCARACCTGGTGAACTCCTGGTGAACTTGCATGCGTGACGTTTTCCCAATGCTCTGTTGTAATTTCACCAAAATGTGACTTGTGCATTGCACAAAGAGAACCAGTGTACATGTACAGTGATGGCAAAGAGAAAAACCAACTAGGGGAAGGGGGGAAAAATGCCTCTAGGCAGAGGGGAGAAAAAAAACCCTCATATGTGAAATTCTTTTAAAAGAATTTTTGACTTTGGAGTTTGAAGGTAAAAGACTAATCAGATGCCCTTTGGTGTGACTAAGACCTGAGAAGTACAGGACAATACGTGCTGTAAAACAACTRTGTATTTTTGTTGGTGTTTCTGTAAAGAATTTAATGAAATTGAGGTCTACTTGTGTATTACTGAAGGCTATGTGGCATTGACTTCRTGGAGAATGAACTGCAGGTTGACTTAGATATCCTGATGGGTTAAAGATGCCATCTATTTGAGAGCTTGCAAGCAATCTTACCATATCKGCCAGTGTGGCTCTGGTCTTGAACGTAAGCAAGATTTCCTAGCAAGTAAGAGACTTCTGTGTAGAAACAAAGAGAAACTACCAAAGCAGGTTTGCAGTGGGCAAGTGTGTGGAGGATTTCAGCCCAGTGAGAGTGTAAAATAGAAATCTTTTCAGAGAGAGAGAGAGAAGCAGTATTGCAATGATTATTGCAAACTCTGGGCTCCCTTCTGTGCAGAGAAAAGCTGCAGGGATGCAGGACAGGCAGGACAATAAAGATATCCTTCTCCCCTCTTGATCTCCTTCTTTGCTTGAAGGCCAACACTTCCAAGAGCTCCTGTGTGTARAAGTTATGTCAACTCCCAGAGGAACAAAAAAAAACCTTTACAGTGTAAACGTTCATTATACAAAGGACAGCGTTAGTTGCTTTGGGCAGAGACCGCATGCAGAGTGCTGTCTGGCTGTGTTGTTCAGCTCACTGGATAGCTATGACTATGATTCTGCTCTAGCAGACTAYAGGAATAATGTGCAAAAAGCCTCTTGTGCTCAGTGGCAGGGCCACTGTGTCCAAACTGAATGTGTTGTTTAAGTGAATGCTACTTGACCCACTTGGCTGTGCTTCTATGACTATTTACAGGATAGCCCCCAAAATAAGTTGCATTCTGATTACTTCATCACTGTGAAGTAATTGTAATTGACAAGATGGTCAGAGAAGTCAAGGAATTAGCAGGAGCCTGGAGGGTTTGATTAATGAGGAAAATGGCTAGAAGGTGCTGGGGATGGCAGTAGGAAGAATGGGAAATAATACAGTATAAGCCCTCGAACAGAAATGTGGAGGGGAATTCTTTAAGAATCTAGGGCCTTTGTAAGCACATGGCCCAGGGAGTCCTCTAGGCTTTTGTGCAGTGTTCCTAGGCCTCTGAGGGCGTGTGGCCCAGGGCTTCTCTGAGTTTCTGTGCGGCCTCCCTGGGCTTGTGTGCAACCATGGCCGTGGGGGCCATCACAGTTTTGTGACCTCCCCASACCTTGGTGCCTTGGGGCTCTATGGCCTTTTGTGTGGCTTCCCTGCACCTCTCTAAACATGTGGCCACTAGGAACCTCCAGACTTTCTTGTGGCCTCAACAGGCCTCTAGGCCCATGTTGCCGCAGGGGACCTGTGGGCTTTCATGCATTCTCCCCAGGCCTCCATGCACGTGTGGCCCCATAGCCCCTCYGGGTATTCTAGCAACCTCCACCGACTTTGTGCACAAGTGGCCCCAGGGACCCTCTGAGTT